AAGGTCCACTCAGCTCCACGTCCTCCTGTACCACATCACTCCATCTCTCTCCAGCCCGTGCCGCGCCCGTCTAGGCCCCCTCGATCCGGCCGAACAAAAGCTGTTTAGGGCATGCGGTGGCTGGGCATGCGGGCTACATGACCCAGCCAACGCAGCCTTGCCTGCCGGAGGAGCTCACTGATGGGACTTTGCCCAGAATCTTTCAAGATTTGTGAGCTCCTCAACAAATCCAGCCTGGTTAAACCCAGGATGGATCGTAGGCAGGCCAGCCTAAATGTTTCCAACCGGCGAAGAGCTCCACCAGGGGGGTCACCGTCTCGCAAGCGTAGAGAAGGGATGGAATGACCGTGGCCGAGAAGACCTGAAAGCTTCGTGCGGAGCGACAGACCAGGTAGCTTCCACACAGCGTTACGCAAACCGATGAAAAGATATTGCCGCTCGACTGATCGGAGTGAGACCTCTGCTGATTAGACTGGAGCCGGTCATAAGCACACTGCCCAGGTATGGAAACTCTCCACTCTCTCCACAACTGCCCCCTCACCAATTGGGAGTTGTGGGTGGTGGAGTGTCCGATGGTACAAAATACACAGTGCAGGTGCTTAGTTTTGGTCGGGGCTGATGGTAAGGCCCCACCTCTTAGTGGCACGACTCCAGTCTCAGCAGCAGCGTCTCCAACTCCTCCTCTGAGTGAGCAGCTATTACCAAATCATCGGCATACATAACGTGGTTGACCAATAGGGAGCCATCCCTGATCGCACCCGGGCGTCGATCAGCTTCCATTATATCTGTACCAATGGAAAATTCCCCCGGTACAGCTATTGAAGGCTTCACGAACTACGCGAGTCAAAATAGATGTAAATAATGTGGGAGCCAGAGGACATCCCTGTCGCACCCCAAGGTGTACAGGGAAAGGCTCCGACTCCCGGCCACGTAGTTTTAACCCGGGCCCGCTCACCATCATGAAGGTCCTTAATGATCGTGAGCAGAGGGTCAGGGACTTCCGAAAGCACGAAGAACAACCCAGAGCCAGGCCCACTGATGGTATCATAGGCCTTGACCAGGTCAAAAAAGCAGAGATGTAGGTCTTTTTGGAATTCCCTACACCTGCTGCTGTAGCAGACGGACAGAAAATATGGCATCTGTGCAGGACCGCCCCTTCCTGAAACCGCATTGGGGCTACCGCAAGCCCTCTCCTCAGCGTGCCTAGCAAGGCGATGTTGAATAATCCTTGCCAGGACCTTACCCGGCACACTGAGGAGGATGAAACAACCTCCTACCTCCTCGCGGTGCCGGACGGGCAACACTGTCGTGGCAGTGCTGTGGGGGGAGGGCCAATGCCATTGGCCTCTCCCCTCATGGCGTCTGTGACCACCACAGTGGCTAAACGGGGGCTCTGGACGGGTGTGAGGGGCTGGTAACCCCTCCACCTTCAATTAACCACCACTAAACCACGAATTAAACATAAACACACACACGCACACACACGCACACACATGTACCGCATGCACACACACACGTGCACGCACGCACACACACAAGTACACACACACGCATGCACACACACGTGCACGCACACACACAAACACATGCACACACACGCACACGTGCACGCATGCACACACACACACGTGCACACACACACACGCACACACACGCACATCCGCATACACACGCATGCACACACACACGTGCACACACACACGCACGTGGACACACACGCACATGCACACACACGCACGCACACACGCCACGCACACACACGCACACACACGTGTGATGAACACGAAGAGCGATGGACCCTGCGGAGGCGAGGGGACTGCGAAACAAAATGAACGAAGGGATGGCTACATTCAGTAGGGAAGAGAAACTCACACACAGCGCAGGAGGAGGAGGGGGGTGGGGGTGGGTGCAATGTTTTTCCACCGCCCGCCTTCAAGCTCGTGCCGCTAATGGACTCGCCGCTTCACGCCACCACCACCACCACCGTCGCCACCACCACCATCGCCACCACCACCATCACCACCACCACACCACCATCACCACACCACCATCACCACCACCACCACCATCAACACCACCACCATCACCACCACCACCGTCGCCACCACCACCACCCCATCACCACCACACCACACACCACCACCACACCATCACCACCAACACCACCACCATCACACACCACCACCACCACCACCATACCACAACCACCATCACCACCACCACCGTCGCCACCACCACCACCACCATCACCACCACCACCACAACCACCCATCGTCGCTCCCCCCCCCCCCCCCCTTCCATCATCGACTGCCAAATTCTCCGCAGCGGCGCGAGAGTGCCGAGGCGGGGTGCGTGTTGATGCGCGTGCTCGCGGCAAGGACTACAGTAATACATAAACTATTAAAAACTCTATTTTTTTACGATTATTTTTATCACCAGGTAAAGGCCCCCCCCCCCCCCACTCCCAACCACTGAGTCTGTGTGGGGCTCCTCTTTTTGTCAGAAGCGACCCAGCGATTGGGAACGATGGCGCAACGAAGTGGCTCGTCGTCGTCATGGGGACTCGGAGCGGCAAATGCTCTGAACGATAGATGTCGATTCCAAATGTGGAGGGGGAAAACCAAAGGACCCCCCGGATAAAAATCACGCGGTTGACCACGGAGAGGAGAGAGACACGCAGATTCCAAATATACAGCAGTAGGCGTCAGTGTCGGCTATCGAACCCACGACCTCGTGCAAACCATGCGAGGTAGTTAACATCTCCCTAGCCACCGTGATGATGATGAGAGGAGAGAGAGAAACACAAAACACTCTAAATATACAGCAGGCAGGCTTGTATGTTTGGGGAGCGCCCCGGGAGGGGGGGGGGTCATTCCAGGAGATCTCATGTGTGAGTCTGTGGGTCTCTTGTGTGATTCTATGGCTGTCTCTGTGAGTCTGTCGAGGTGTTTTTAATTTCACGAGTAAAATCGTCAATTACGTGTCTATCAAGGAGAGCCATAGGACCTGGTTTGCAGGGTGGGCCCTACTGCTTCATTGGGGTTGTTATTGTAGGGGTGTTAAAGAGAGGTGCCCGGTTATGCATGGCAGCCTATGGAAAACAAACACAGGGGCGGGGGCTACGTAAGTGCACGAGCAAGTGCCCTCTACGACGTCCGAGCCAGACACCCTGGGGGGGGCTGGTTCGAACGTTATGTATCCCCCGGGGCCCCCACCCCCTCAGGGAGGGGTGGGTATAAAAGGGGATGTTTCAAAGGGCTCGGCAGTTAGTTTTAAGCTAAGGGAAGAAGATTGAAGACGTCTTAGATAGAGCCCTGGACTCCCCTGGTTCGATGTCCTTTTCAGGGCCGGACAGGATTGAGCCAGCGGCGTGGTCCCGAAAGCCAGAGCCGGTGATCTTGTAAGGGCTGGTCTGGAACTCCGGGTACCGGGCCCGACTTACCAGTGTCGGGCCAGTTAGCCTCCCCTAGCCCATTAGTGGAGGATTCGGGGCTAGGACAGAGTTAGCTAGGGGTGTATCCCGAGTTATACGGGTGAGGGGGCCGATACCCCCTCGAGAGTGTATATGCCCACTGTCATACTGTGAAATAAATATACGTGTGCCTCAACCTCGGCGTCAAGCGTCTTCACCGGTACTTCATTATCATGTGGACGCCTTCAGCCAATTACTGATGAAGCCACAGGGGCATTGCCTGAAACGTCTGCAATTACTTCCTTTAAACGCCACGGAGGTTCCTGACGAACGTGCCCGGTTTAATGTCCGGTGCAGCCAGCGCAGTGCACCGAACATCACCGCCACCACCGCTGCAGCCACTGGACTCCCCATCTCACCGCAAATTAGTCCTCGCTTTTATCTCTCCCAAAAGAAGCGGTGATATTTTGATGAAAGTCCGAGTGGACCGCTGATGGTGCTGGCCACCCACCCCCTCGTGTGCCTTGACGCCCTTCACAGGCGCTGGCTAGCAGCGCTTGCCCCAACAGTCTGTTCAGGCCACATGGGGGGATCTTTGTCTTCAATTAGTTTTTTCATGGCTGTTGTTATATATATTTTTTTAATGGCCGTGGATCGCCGAGCGTGGCCAGCTGCGTATCCCACGACTCGTTAGCGAGCCTGGCTCCGCCACAAAGCCTCCTTCCAAACACCTCTCACCCACCACCCCCCCATCTTTCTCTCTCCTCTCTCTCTCCACCTCTGCGTGGGGTGGCGGAGAATTTGTTTGAGAAGTCGGGGAGCTGGCCAGAGGGTGCTGCTGGGAAGCTCCCCCCCCCCCCCCGGCGTGGCCAATCGGTTCTTGGCTCCACCCGTCACCATTCCAGTCTCCCGGCGCGGCGGTTAAAGGTCAACGGTCTGAATTAAACCGAAGGCTGTAAACGGAAACTGATGTCATTTTTTTTCCCCAAAAAAATTCAACTTTTTTATTTTATTTTACCCGGGTAAGGGCTCCGCACCGACCTCCGTGGCTCTTTCTCAGATGCGACTCCTCCTCGCTATCACCATCATCATCACCATCGTCATCATCACCATCACCATCATCACCATCGTCATCACCATCATCATCACCATCATCAGCATCATCACCATCACCATCATCACCATCATCATGACCATCATCACCACCATCATCACCATCATCATGACCATCCTCATCACCATCATCACCATCATCGTCACGTGGAAATTCATAGCAGCGGCCAGAAAAACCCTGAACGCATGGTGATGTTCAGCAGTGGCACGAGCGAGGGAGCGAGGATCTCGACATGCGTCACCCCTCGTGGGGGGGGGGGGGGGTGGCATGGGGGGGAGGGGAGGTGGGTGGCAGGGGGTGGGGTAGGGGTTGGGGGTGCGGTGTTTTCCGGTCGTTTGACGCCTCATTCAGATTATTTGCCAGCTGTCCACATCTGAAGATTGAATATAGAACGTCGAACCCACGCCGTGTGAGAGCAATCGGCCAAACCAACATTCATCCGGCCACGTGATCGAGTGGTCTCGTGTGTGTGGTCACCGCGCAATGGTCGGCCAACTACCCTACGAGCCCAGAGACCCGTGTTCGATGCCTGCTCATGGCCAACGACAGCAGCAAATGTTTGAACCGGTCCTGGGGACTTTCCCAGGTCGACTAAACCTTTAACGGTGAGACGCAGGCGGCCATGCTCACCAGCCCCACCTCCCCGTGTGCCGTGACGGCCTGGATGGATGCCACTCGCCTCCGGCACTTGCCCCGATTGCTTGTTGAAGGCTACACGGGGATCTCCGTCTCTTTTGCGTGTACGCAGGGCCCTCTCGGAGAGAAGGGAGATCGGGGCGAGGCCGGGAACGCGGGCACCCCGGGGCCGGCGGGCGGCCGTGGGCAGATAGGGGAAGATGGCCCCAAGGGCCACCCTGTGAGTGGCACATCACCAACACCATCATCACCAACATCGCCACCACCAACACCATCACCAACATCGCCGCCACCACTACAGCCATCACCACCAGAACCGTCATCACCATCACCAACATCGCCACCACCGCCACCACCACAGCCATCACCACCAGAACCGTCATCACCATCACCAACATCACCACCACAGCCACCACCACAGCCATCATCACCACCATCACCACTACCACTACCACAGCAGGCACCACCACCACAGCCATCACCAACACCACCACCACCATAGCCATCACCACAGCCACCACCGCCACAGCCATCACCGACACCACCACCATCACCAACATCGCCACAGCCGCCACCACCACAGTCATCACCAACACCATCATCACAGCCATCACCATCATCACCACCACAGCCATCATCACCACCAACACCATCACCACTACCACAGCAGCCACCACCACCACCACGGTCGCCATCACCGCCTGTGACCACTCCGGTTCCTCGTCTCCAGGGCCCCGTGGGATTCCCCGGAGACCTGGGAGTGCCGGGCGAGCCGGGACCCCCGGTGAGTGTCCAACGTGACCCCCGCGCCTCCCCTGCGTAGAGCCCTCCACCATCACCTCCACCATCATCTCCACCTCCACCATCACCTCCACCATCATCTCCACCATCACCATCACCTCCACCATCACCTCCACCATCACCTCCACCATCACCTCCACCATCACCACCACCATCACCTCCACCATCACCTCCACCATCACCTCCACCATCACCTTCACCATCACCATCACCTCCACCATCACTTCCACCTCTACCATCACCTCCACCATTACCTCCACCTCTACCATCACCTCCACCATCACCTCCACCATCATCTCCACCATCATCTCCACCTCCACCATCACCTCCACCATCATCTCCACCATCACCATCACCTCCACCATCACCTCCACCATCACCTCCACCATCACCTCCACCATCACCACCACCATCACCTCCACCATCACCTCCACCATCACCTCCACCATCACCATCACCTCCACCATCACCTCCACCATCATCTCCACCTTCACCATCACCTCCACCATCACCTCCACCATCACCTCCACCATCACCTCCACCATCGCCATCACCTCCACCATCACCTCCACCATCATCTCCACCTCCACCATCACCTCCACCACCATCTCCACCATCATCTCCACCATCACCATCACCTCCACCATCACCTCCACCATCCCCTCCACCATCACCTCCACCTCCACCATCACCATCACCTCCACCATCACCTCCACCATCACCTCTACCATCACCTCCACCATCATCTCCACCATCACCTCCACCTCCACCATCACCATCACCTCCACCATCACCTCCACCATCACTTCCACCATGACCTCCACCATCACCTCCACCGTCACCTCCACCTTCACCTCCACTATCACCTCCACCATCACCTCCACCATCACCTCCACCATCACTTCCACCATCACCTCTACCATCACCTCCACCATCCCCTCCACCATCACCTCCACCTCCACCATCACCATCACCTCCACCATCACCTCCACCATCACTTCCACCAGCACCTCCACCATCACCTCCACCATCACCATCACCTCCACCATCACCATCACCTCCACCATCACCTCCACCATCACCTCCACCATCACCATCACCTCCACCATCACCATCACCTCCACCATCACCTCCACCATCACCTCCACCATCACCATCACCTCCACCATCACCATCACCTCCACCATCACCTCCACCATCACCTCCTGAATCGTGCGTGTGTGCCGCACGGATGTTGAACTTCTCATGCACCGGGCGACGTGGCCAAGCGTGCCCATCGGAGGTGCGGCGGGGCCAAGGACGACAACACGAAAACAGAAAAAGCACTTCGAAAGAAATAAATATGTTTTCCAATTTTAATATAGTAGTGTAGTGTATAGTGCAGTGGGTAGCGGAGTGTATAGTGTCGTGTATAGTGCATTGTATAGTAGTGTATAGTGTAGTGTGTAGCATGGTGTGTAGTGTAGTATGTATTGCATTGTATAGTGTATAGCGTAGTATATAGTGCAGTGGGTAGCGTAGTGTATAGTGTAGTATGTAGTGGGCAGTGTATAGTGTAGTGTATAATGTAGTGTTTAATGTAGTATGTAGTGTATAGTGTAGTATATAATGTAGTATGTAGTGTATAGTGTAGTATATAATGTATGTAGTGTATAGTGTAGTATATAATGTAGTATGTAGTGTATAGTGTAGTATGTAGTGTATAGTGTAGTGTATAGTGTAGTATGTAGTCTATAGTGTAGTGTATAGTGTAGTATATAATGTAGTATGTAGTGTATAGTGTAGTATGTAGTGCATAGTGTAGTATATAATGTATGTAGTGTATAGTGTAGTGTATAGTGTAGTATATAATGTAGTGTATAGTATAGTATGTAGTGTATACTGTAGTGTATAATGTAGTGTATAATGTAGTATGTAGTGTATAGTGTAGTGTATAGTGTAGTATATAGTGTAGTATGTAGTGTATAGTGTAGTATATAGTGTAGTATATAGTGTAGTGTATAGTGTAGTATGTAGTATATAGTGTAGTGTATAGTGTAGTATATAGTGTAGTATGTAGTATATAATGTAGTATATAATGTAGTATATAATGTAGTATATAGTGTAGTATGTAGTGTATAGTGTAATGTAGTGTTTGTACGTTAAGCTTCTTTCGGCACCGTACGTTGCCAACTGTGCAAATTTGAGGTGCGGGGGAAGGACAACAAACCCAAGAAATTAGTTTTTCATTTTATTCAAATCGTTCAAGGAAGATTTGCGACATCATTTTATAACAGTTGATTTTTAGTTTAGATTAAACCTGATTCTAATTTATCAGTTCATTTTTTTTCTGGGGTTAAACGAAGCTTATTTTAATAAATCTTCCTCTTGAATTGGCTGTTCGTTATTCATCGTCTCAAACTGTGCATTCTTAAACGTACGTCCATCCGGCGCTCCGCTGGGTGACATGCATTGTGGTGGGCGATGTCCTGGCCCGCTTGGGGGCACAGCCTGGCTGCAAACCCCACGGTGACGTGCGAGCCACCCGTGCCCCCCATTCCCCCCGTGCCCCCCGTGCCCCCCGTGCCCCCCATGCCCCCCGTGCCCCCCGCGTGATCGTGGTGGTGCTGCTGCTTGCGATTGTAGGGGCAAGACGGCGCGCCGGGCGACGCTGGAGACAAGGGTGACCCGGGAGAGCCGGTGAGTGTCCGCCAGAGGAGGCGGCCACCAGTGACTCGCATCGAAACGCACTGACACCATAGAGACTCATAGACTTGCATAGAGACCCATAGACTTGCATAGAGACGCATAGACTTACATAGAGACTCATAGACTTGCATAGAGACCCATAGACTTGCATAGAGACTCATAGACTTGCATAGAGACCCATAGACTTGCATAGAGACCCATAGACTTACATAGAGACCCATAGACTAGCATAGAGACCCATAGACTTGCATAGAGACCCATAGACTTGCATAGAGACGCATAGACTTGCATAGAGACCCATAGACTTGCATAGAGACCCATAGACTTGCATAGAGACCCATAGACTTACATAGAGACTCATAGACTTCCATAGAGACCCATAGACTTGCATAGAGACTCATAGACTTGCATAGAGACCCATAGACTTGCATAGAGACGCATAGACTTGCATAGAGACCCATAGACTTGCATAGAGACCCATAGACTTGCATAGAGAACCATAGACTTACATAGAGACCCATAGACTTGCATAGAGACCCATAGACTTGCATAGAGACCCATAGACTTCCATAGAGACCCATAGACTTACATAGAGACCCATAGACTTACATAGAGACTCATAGACTTGCATAGAGACCCATAGACTTGCATAGAGACTCATAGACTTGCATAGAGACCCATAGACTTGCATAGAGACCCATAGACTTGCATAGAGACTCATAGACTTGCATAGAGACCCATAGACTTGCATAGAGACCCATAGACTTGCATAGAGACTCATAGACTTACATAGAGACCCATAGACTTGCATAGAGACCCATAGACTTGCATAGAGACCCATAGACTTGCATAGAGACCCATAGACTTACATAGAGACCCATAGACTTGCATAGAGACCCATAGACTTGCATAGAGACCCATAGACTTGCATAGAGACCCATAGACTTACATAGAGACCCATAGACTTGCATAGAGACCCATAGACTTCCATAGAGACCCATAGACTTGCATAGAGACCCATAGACTTACATAGAGACCCATAGACTTGCATAGAGACCCATAAACTTGCATGAGACCCATAGACTTGCATAGAGACCCATAGACTTGCATAGAGACCCATAGACTTACATAGAGACACATAGACTTGCATAGAGACTCATAGACTTGCATAGAGACCCATAGACTTGCATAGAGACCCATAGACTTGCATAGAGACTCATAGACTTGAATAGAGACCCATAGACTTGCATAGAGACCCATAGACTTGCATAGAGACCCATAGACTTACATAGAGACCCATAGACTTGCATAGAGACCCATAGACTTGCATAGAGACCCATAGACTTGCATAGAGACCCATAGACTTGCATAGAGATGCACAGACATACACTTGCATATAGATGGATAGACTTGCATTGCCTCATATCGAGATGCATAGATTTGCATAGACTCGAATCGAGACGGGTAGACTCACCCAGGTGAAGTTTGTAATGAAGCCGGCTTCTCCAGTGGGGTGGAGTTGGTGGCCTCGGCCTGGTCGCCGACGCCCTGCATAGAACTCACGGAGAGCCATGGACCCGGAGGCTTGCGTCGAGTTTAAGCGACTCGCACAGATCGAGCTCTCGGCCACCGATGGCCGCAGCAGAGAAACGGCTCGGCACAGCAGCGAGAGCCACGCAGCAAGAGCCACCCTCGCCGTGAGAGCCACGCACTGGCTCGGGGAGTGCAAGTGGAAGTACGGTGACCCCTTGCCCGGCGTTGAACCTGCGTCCCGTTGGTTCTTTCGCAGGGATCTCCGGGACCGACGGGAGAAGCCGGACCACCGGGTTCCCTGGGCAAGAGGGTGAGGATGCGATCCGGCCAATGCCGCGCCACCGACGGGGCGCTCTGCCCGTCATAGCGGGGGCGCGAATAGAAACCTCTCGCGATGTCGTGACGCCCGCATTCTGTTGGGCGCGATCCTTGTGGGGGCGTGACGCCGGTTTGTGTAATCGCGGCCCTCCACCACCACCCAGCGACAGAGCCAATCAGGTGGTGCCCGATCGACGTGCCCGTCGGTTTGGTCGGCATCGCGGATTCTAGCGGAACGCCGTCGCTGATTGTCAATAAACGCCGCTGGCTTTTTCGACGTGGCGCAGCGCAACGCGCGCTTGCTGGACTTCTTTGGCAACGCGCGCTTGCCAGCCGTGCTCATCGGAGGTAACCTGGTCCGCTGGTAACCTGTTCTGCTGTTAACCTGGTCCGCTGGTAACCTGGTCTGCTGTTAACCTGGTCCGCTGGTGACCTGGTCCACTGATACAAACCAAATCCCTGGGCACAGCCAAGATGCGGCAAGAGTTACAAACTGCCATCGTACACGAGGCTACGTTACTGAAATAGAAACTAATTATGAATTATTGTATCGGTCGTGAAAGCCTTCCGTGTATCTATATATATAAAAGGGAAATCTCTGATTATGCGTGTCTGTTCAAAAGTTTTAGCATACTTCCCAACATGCTATAAAAATAGATTTTTGTATTTGGGGGGGGGGGGGGGGGGCGCCATAATGGATGTGATGTATTGCACGGCAAGTGAGCGTTGACGTCACATCTGTGATGGCACCGCATGCGGCAGCGTCACGCAGTGTGCCTGCTGACGTCACTCACACTCCCCCCCAATCCTCCGCAGAGGCCGTCTATCCCGCACAAATGCGCGGCTGGGGGGGGGTGGCGAAATAATGGATATAATATACTCGGACTAAACTATGAATTCCCGTGCGAAGTACGGGTACACCTGATAGTATATTATATATGGAAGTGTACTTTTTTTTTACGGAATACCGGCCGCAGGAACAACATATAGACTCTGAAGTTGTGAACGACGTTAACGGAATTCTGCCTTCCCTTCTCTCAGGGCCCGCCGGGGCCACCTGGGCCAGAAGGCCGCACGGGAATGAAAGGAGCGAAGGTGAGAATTCTCTTGAACTCACTCCCCCGCCCCCTCCCTCACCACCCTCACCCGCCCCCTCAGCACTCAAGACAACAACAACAACTACAATCATTTCCGTTTGGCAGCTGTCACCCACCCCCCCCCCCCCCCCCTAAGGCGGGCGATCATTGTCGCACCGTGTTGCCTGCCGTAGTGAGGAAGAGTAGGCCAGACAATCTCGGAGTGCGGCGTGAGCTGGAAATTGCAAGGCTTGCGCCTTTATATTCTATGTTCTGTGGTTCTTTCGCTAAAGTCACGTAGAGAGAAAAAATAACAATAAAATAATAAAAACCAGATAAAGGCTTGCGACTTCATAAATATTTGTTTTGACCTCTTCGTCGGTGACGACTCCGGACAGGATGAATGCCGGTCTGTTGCGACCCCCAGCCAGGGTTCGAATCGATGCCCCCCCGAGTGGGGAGTTGAGCACTCTGTCAGGGCTGTGGCCTTGCCGTGGCCTTCACGACCTTGCGTTGCGCGTGTCCCCGTCCGCCTGCCCCCGTCCATAAATCCGTGCCTGCGTGTGTCCGTGCCTGCGTGCGTGCCCGTGTGTCCGTGCCTGCGTGCGTGCCCGTGTGTCCGTGCCTGCGTGCGTGCCCGTGTGTCCGTGCCTGCGTGCGTGCCCGTGTGTCTGTGCCTGCGTGCGTGCCCGTGTGTCCGTGCCTGCGTGCGTGCCCGTGTGTCCGTGCCTGCGTGCGTGCCTGCGTGTGTCCGTGCCTGCGTGCGTGCCTGTGTGTCCGTGCCTGCGTGCGTGCCTGCGTGTGTCCGTGCCTGCGTGCGTGCCCGTGTGTCCGTGCCTGCGTGCGTGCCTGCGTGTGTCCGTGCCTGCGTGCGTGCCTGCGTGCGTGCCCGTGTGTCCGTGCCTGCGTGCGTGCCCGTGTGTCCGTGCCTGCGTGCGTGCCCGTGTGTCAACAGGGAGAGCTGGGCCCCGATGGATTACCGGGTCGCCTCGGTCCGGCTGGGCCTGTGGGCCTGCCTGGGCCGCCAGGCCTGGACGGCCTCAGAGGCATTCCAGGTCCTCCGGTACGTGTGGTTGTATGCGTGTACACACACACGCGCGCAAACACACATACCTGGTGCGGTGTGTAAGCATCGCCACGAGAGAGACAAAGGCGGCCGGCGTTGGCGCTGGCCACCCACCCCCTCGTGTGCTGTGTCAGCCTTCACAGGTGCTGCTACTCGCTAAAAGCACTTACCCCAACAGTCTGTTCAGGCTATACGGGGGATCTTTGTCTTTGAGTGCGCGTTTGTCTGCGTGTGTGTGCGCGTGTGCGTGTGTGCCCGTGTGCGTGTGCATGTTTGTGTGTGCGTGTGTGCCCGTGTGCATGTGCGTGTGAGCGTGCGTGTGAGCGTGCGAGTGTGCGTGTGTGCGTGTGTGCATGTGTGTATGTGCGTGTGTGTGCGTGTGAGCGTGTGTGTGCGTGTGTGTGTGCGTGTGTGTGCGTGTGAGCGTGTGTGTGCGTGTGTGTGTGCGTGTGAGTGTGTGTGTGCGTGTGTGCGTGTGCGCATGCGTGCGTGTGCGCGTGTGTGCGCATGTGTGTGTGCGTGTGTGTGCGTGTGTGCGGCACGGCGAGTGATTCCGCGCTCGTTTGGTTTCTTGTCCTTTCAGGGGAGCCTCGGGTCGCCGGGGTCGATCGGACAGAACGGACCGCCGGGACCCATGGTGAGAGCGGCGGCCTCCCCATCCTCCCCATTCCTCCCCGTCCGGCTCCCCCAGTAACCACGCGTCACCTTCGTCCCGTTGTGTCGTGACGGCTTCTTTGGCTCCATCGCTCTGCTGGCGGCGGTGGCGACGGTGCTCTTGTTTAAAAACAAATGCTGGCATTTTTTGTTGTTTTGCGATCTAATCCAGAATGAACTCATTGTGAGTCAAAACATTTGGTCGTGAAAGTCTGCCGGAGGCGTCAAAATAACGGTGCCGTTTTCTTCCGGACTATAAAGCAACCCTAGCGTGGTGGTGGGGGGTTGGAGGGGGGGAGAGGCACCTGTTTGGTCTTGAAGTTTATAACCTACTCTTTGTTACTTTCGGTAAAGTCACGTAGGTAAAGAAAATAAAATAAAAATGAAAATTAAATCACGACGTTTCTTTGACTTATATAGCCCGCTGACATCTCTCCCACTTCAGTATAAATGTTCTTGCTGTGGTGTTCACACCTGATGATGATTGCTTGTGTTGCAATCGAAAAGTCGTGATTTAATTTAAAATCTTCTTGGTTCTTTCGGTAAAGTCACGTAGAAGGGAAGTAATAAAATAAAAAATACAAATATTTTTATTATAAAATAAATATTTTTATTATTTTATTACTTCCCTTCTACGTGACTTTACCGAAAGAACCAAGAAGATGAATCCCTGCAGTCACGAAAGCTTTAAATCGAAATTAATTTAAAATGTTATTTTGTTTTCTCTACCTACGTGACTTTACCGAAAGAACCAAAAGAGTATGGATCTTTGCAGTCACGAAAACTTCAAATCTAGAATTAGTTTAAAACCACACCACTCGTGCCGCATCATCCTCCGTCCGTGTCTCTGTACAAAACGAGACCGACGGAGCGGGGAGAGCGAGCGGGAGAGAGAGAGAGAGAGTGTCAATCCCTCCGAGGCTGTCGTGTCGTTACCCCGGGGGGAGGGGGGGGAGGTGAGGGGAGCCAAGCGAGCGCGCGAAAGACGACCGATTGTCTTCTGTCGCCTGCAGGGACCTCCGGGTCTTCCCGGACTGAAGGGCGAGCCCGGCACCAAGGGTGAGAAGGTGAGTTGGCCACTGACGAGACCTTTCCCCCAGCGATTGGGATGGGTGGGCGGTTGAGTTCTCTCTTGGCCCGGTCAGGTGATGACCTTGCTGGCTTTACCCCCGGTAATGTACTTCTTGTAAAGGCTTTTACTGCTCAGGCTGCGAGAGATTCGTGAGCTTCGGCTCAACTACTACGTCCGTCCTATTTTTTTAACATGAGGTGGGGGGGGGGGGATCTCTGATCGAGAGGTGACTGCGATTTGAACTTTCAGGCCCGGTCTGGCCTCTGGCGAAGGAGGAGAAAGAAAAGAGGGCGGAGGGAGGGGGGATTTATTTATCGGTCGCTTGCTTGATGTTTACGGTCGCCACGGCGTGAGGACGGTGAAGCGATGAGTCCCCCGTCGCACGCACACACACGCAGAGACAAAGACAAAGATCCCCCGTGTAGCCTGTAACACACTTTAGGGGCAAGTACTGTTAGCGAGCACCTATGAAGGCCGGCACGGCACACGAGGGGGTGGGTGGCCAACACCACGCCCGGCCGCCTTTGTCTCCCCAGTGGCGATGTTTACACACCGCACCAGGTACTCATTTGAGGCTGAGTCGACCTAGGGAAGGCCCAGACACGTACGCACGCACAGACATGCACAGATACGCACGCACAGACACGCACACACAGACACGCACAGACACGCACGCACGCACAGACACGAACAGACACGCACACACGCACAGACACACACGCACAGACACACGCACGCACAGACACACACAGACACGCACAGACACGCATAGGCACGTACAGACACACACAGACACACACGCACGCACTGACACGGACGCACAGACACGCACGCACAGACACGCACAGACACGCACGCACAGACACAAACAGACACGTACACACGCACAGACACACACGCACAGACACACATACAGACACGCACAGACACACACAGACACGCACAGACACACACACACACAGACACACACACAAAGACACACACACGCACGCACACACACACACAGACACGCACACACACACGCACGCACACACACACGCACGCACACACAGGCCACCTGCCCGCGCAATTGATTTTCAGTCGACGCGCGAAACGATCGCCAGTTCCGAGCGCGTGCGTTCAGGTGTGGAGTGGGAGGGGGGAGGAGGGGGGGAGGAGAGCCGCGTTCCGTGCGTCTTGCGGAGGAGCAATTTCTTTGACAGCTCGTGGGCACGCGTGTGTATCTGTGTGTCTGTGTGTGTGTGTCTCTGTGTGTGTGTGTCTCTGTCTGTTTGTGTGTGTGTGTGTCTATGTCTGTGTGTGTGTGTCTGTGTGTCTTTGTGTGTGTGTCTCGGTGTGTGTGTCTGTGTGTGTGTCTCTGTCTCTGTGTGTGTGTCTCTGTGTGTCTGTGTCTCGGTGTGTGTGTCTGTGTGTGTGTGTGTCTCTGTGTGTGTGTGTATCTGTGTGTGTGTGTCTGTCTGTTTGTGTGTCTGTGTGTCTGTGTGTGTCTCTGTCTGTGTGTGTGTCTGTGTGTGTGTGTCTGTCTGTTTGTGTGTCTGTGTATCTGTGTGTGTCTCTGTGTGTGTGTCTCTGTCTGTTTGTGTGTCTGTGTGTGTCTCTGTGTGTCTGTGTGTCTCGGTGTGTCTGTCTGTGCGTGTGTGTGTCTGTCTCTGTGTGTGTCTCTGTGTGTGTGTGTCTCTGTGTGTGTGTGTCTCTGTGTGTGTGTGTCTCTGTGTGTGTGTGTCTCTGTGTGTGTGTGTCTCTGTGTGTGTGTGTCTCTGTGTGTGTGTGTCTCTGTGTGTGTGTGTCTCTGTGTGTGTGTCTGTCTCTGTGTGTGTGTCTCTGTGTGTGTGTCTCTGTGTGTGTGTCTCTGTGTGTCTGTGTGTGTGTCTCTGTCTCTGTGTGTGTGTGTCTCTGTGGGGAGCGGTAGTGTAGCGGTTAGCGCGCTGCGCTATGAACCTGGCGACTCAGCCTTAAATGAGTACCTTGTGCGGTGTGTAAACATCGCCACTGGGGAGACAAAGGCGGTCGGGCGTGGTGCTGGTCACCCACCCCCTCGTGTACCGTTCCGGCCTTCATAGGTGCTCGCTAACAGCACTTGCCCCTACAGTCTGTTAAGGCTATATGGGGGATCTTTATCTTTGTGTGCCTCTGTGTGTGTGTGTCTCGGTGTGTCTCGGTGTGATTAGCACGCTGCGCTACAAACCGAGTTCGATTCCCACTCACGGCCACTACCACCGGCGACGATTTTCTGAACCGGTCCTGGGCCTCCCCGAGGTCGACTCAGCCTCAAATGAGTAGCCGGTGCAGTGCGCAGTAAACATCGCCACTGGGGATACAAAGGCGGCCGGGCGTGGTGCTGGCCATCCACCCCCTCGTGTACCGGTCCCAGCCTTCATAGGCGCTACTCGCTGACAGCACTTGCCCCAACATTCTGTTAAGACTACACGGGGGTTCTTTGTCGGTGCGTGTGTAGGAGTGTGGTGGGAGTGTGCGTGCCTCCGTTTGCTCGTGAATTATTTTTGCACGAGTGGGTGTGTGTTGTTTGCGTGTTGGTTGCGTGTTGATTGCGTGTTGGTTGCATGTGCGGTGCGCCATAGCATAATGATGAGCGTGCAACTCCAACGAATCCCGTCCGCCCGAGTTCGATTCCCGGCCACGGCTAACATCACCGGCGAACGACACCTGAACCGGTCCTGGGACTTTTCCATTTTCACCTGCTGCTGATCGGCTTTACCACAGCGGGGGAACCCATTAACACCGCTCGGTGGACAGTGGTGGTGGAGGCGGTGGTGGTGGCTGGGTCATGCAGCCCGCATGCCCAGCCACCGCATGCCTAAGCAGCTTTTGTTCAGCGGGCTAGAGTGGGCTAAACGGGTGCGGCACGGGCTAGAGAAGAGATGGAGTGATGTGTTACAAGAGGACGTGGAGCTGAGTGGACTTGCCAATGACCGGTGCCAGCGGTGTCAAGATCGGCCTCTGTGGAGGAGGCTCGTGAAGGACGCTACTGGGCAGTTGGAGGCAGTCGCCCTCCAACAACAACGGAGGGCAGAGGAGCGACGCTCACAACGAGCGGAGCGCCGGGTGGCTAAAACGCAGCGAGTTGGCACATTAGGGGGCACAGGTGGTGCAGCAGCCAGTCATCTCAGTCAGTCAACCCGTGGCACCTGGGTCTGTCCCGTGACCTGCCGGTGGGCGTTCGACAATTCACGTGGCCTCAAGGTGCACCTAGCCTGTCACAAGTGCCTTGGTAACATCACCTCCATTTACTTGTTTTTATTTGACCAGGTAAGGTCCCACTGAACTGTGTCGCTCTTGTGTCAGAAGCGACCACCTGGCCATCACGAATTATAGCCAATCGAAGTGGCTTATCATCATCACGTGGAAATGTATAGCAGTCAAACACTCTAAACGCGTGATGTTGATTCTTATTGTGGAGGGGAAAATCGGAGGACCCGGAGAAAAATCCGCAGGACCACGGGGAGAGAGAGACACGCAAACTCTAAATATACAGCAGCAGGCGTCAGGGTCGGGATCGAACCCACGACCCCCTGTACACCAGGCGAAGTAGTTAACATCTCCTACCCACTGTGATGATGATGAGAGAGACACGCAAATTATAAATATACAGCAGCAGGCGTCAGAGTCGGGATCGAACCCACGACCTCCTGTATACCAGCCGAGGTAGTTAACATCTCATTTAAGGCTAAGTCAACCTAGGGAAGGCCCAGGACCGGTTCAGATAATCGTCACTGGTGTTGGCCGTGAGCGGGAATCAAACCCGGGTCGCCGGGTTCATAGCGCACACACACAGACACACACGTAGACTCAACACAGAGACCCATCATCTGCCCCCCCCCCCTCACCTCCAATTAGCCCGGTTGGCTACGCACGGCGCGAAAGAAGTTCAACGTACACACACACACATACGCGTAGACTTGCCGCACCGGGCAGGTTCACCCCACTTCTCTTTCCGCGCCTTCCTCTCGCACGGCCTCCACTTTGGCGATTCCCCTTCCCGTCCCTCCTCGCCATTGCCTCCCGTCACCGAGTTCCCGTCGTCGTCGTCAATAACGACGGCGGTAATCCAGCTCGGTGCAATGACGGCGATCATCGTTGCGTGGCTCGAACTGGCCGACCGTTGCGTTTTTTGCCGGGCCGCTTGGCGCGTTGTGACCGCCACCACGATCCTGTCGTCCTCAGGGCCACCCGGGGCTCATCGGACTCATCGGCCCCCCGGGAGATCAAGGGGATAAGGGGGATCGTGGAGAGCCCGGTGTCGGGGGTCTCCCGGGGCCCAAGGGAGAAGTTGTGAGTACCGCCTCTGTGTGTGTCCCTGCACCACAGCCCCTGTACCCCTCTGGGTGTGCCTCTTTACCCCCTGTGGGTCCCCCTGTACACCCTCTGCCCCCCCCGTGTCCCTCTGGGTGTCTCCCTGTGTGTCCCCCTGTACCCCCTCTGTCCCCCCTCTGTGTCCCTCTGGGTGTCTCCCTGTGGGTCCCCCTGTACCCCCTCTGTCCCCCCCCCCCGTGTCCCTCTGGGTGTCTCCCTGTGGGTCCCCCTGTACACCCTCTGTCCCCCCCCGTGTCCCTCTGGGTGTCTCCCTGTGGGTCCCCCTGTACACCCTCTGCCCCCCCCCGTGTCCCTCTGGGTGTCTCCCTGTGTGTCCCCCTGTACCCCCTCTGTCCCCCCCCCCGTGTCCCTCTGGGTGTCTCCCTGTGGGTCCCCCTGTACCCCCTCTGCCCCCCCCCGTGTCCCTCTGGGTGTCTCCCTGTGGGTCCCCCTGTTCCCCCTCTGCCCCCCCCCGTGTCCTTCTGGGTGTCCCCCTGTGGGTCCCCCTGTACCCCCTCTGTCCCCCCCCGTGTCCTTCTGGGTGTCTCCCTGTGTGTCCCCCTGTACCCCCTCTGTCCCCCCTCTGTGTCCCCCTGGGTGTCTCCCTGTGTGTCCCCCTGTACCCCCTCTGTCCCCCCCGTGTCCTCCTGGGTGTTCCAAGGTGTGTCTCCCTGTGAGTCCCCCTGTACCCCCCTGTGTGTCTCCCTGCACCACACTCCACAGGCGGCGGTGGCCCAGCGACGCGTGGTCTACGCGGGGGGAGCGCGCGTGACCCCCGCGTGCCTACGCCGCTCTCTCTCTCTGTCCCCTGGCACACAGGGAGAGAGAGCGTGGGATGAACGCGTGCGGCGATCGAGCGCGCAGTGATTATTGCGTGTTAACCCTCGCCCTCTCCCCGCCAACCCGAACTCCCTCCAACCTCCTCCATCATCTCCTCCCCTCTTCCTCCCTCCTCCTTCCTCTTCCCTCCTCCTCCCTCCTCCTTCCTCCCTCCTCCTCTTCCTCCCCCTCCTCCCTCCTCCTCCCTCCTTCATCCTCCTCATTCTACTCCCTCCTCCTCCCTCCTCGCCCTTCTCCTCCTCCTCCCATCCATAACCCTAACCTCCACCGGCTCCCACCCCTCCTCCTTGCACCTCACCCTACTCACTCCTCACTCCCCTCTTCCTGGTCTCTCTTCACTCCTCCACCTGCTCCTAACCTTCACCTCCTTGTTCACTTGCTCATCGTCCCGACCGACCTCCTTAATCCTCGCTCCCTGCTGCTCTTCCTCATCCTAACCTTCTATTCCTCCCTCCCCTCCCTTCCCCCTCCTCCCCTCCTCCCTCTTGTTCTCATCCCCACCGATTTCAGGGATTTTCTGGACCATCAGGACCTGTAGGCCCGGGTGGACCTCCAGGACTTCCGGTAAGATCCCATCGCAAGTCACCACCGCCGCCATCGCCATCGACGTCAGCCGTGTTCTATCCACTGCTGGCTCGAGGTTTCCCGGCTCGCACACCCCCGTCGGAGTCCGCGCCGCGCGTGACAGACGGCCGACGTGGCCCGCGAATGCCGAAATAGTCTCGGATCAAGAGACTCACGAGGCCCAAGCATTTTGAAATTATAATTACCGGGCAAGCAAAAAAAAAAACAACCGCTGCTTTCAAGTAGCGGCGTGGTTTGGGGGCTGGTGCGGGGTGGAGGTGATGCCAGCCCGCTTGGGAGCGATGCCTAACTCTGTTGTCACCGTCACTTCAAAGAATCCTTCGGTTAATAGGCTCGTCGCAATCAGACTCACATCTTCATGGCGGTTGTTAAAATGACGAGCCGTTTTTAGGTTTTTTTGTTGAACGTTTCCAAGGACCTCGAGCCGATATTACGCGCGGCGCTCAATCCCGCGCGGAATAGAGCGGAACTCCACGTCGGAAATTATTCTTGGCCGGGCGGCGACGGCGGCGGTGACGGCGGCAGTGGCCACGCCTGCCGCCGCTGCGCTCGGCCGCCGGCAGCGAGGGTTGGCGGATCACGCGCGGATGGTGCGTGAAACTGCCCTCCCCTGGGGTGCCCTGGCTTTGTCGGGGTAGGAGCTGGCGCAGAGTCGTGGCCCGGTGCGACCCCGGCTCATGCCGTCGCCAACCCGGCGAGCTCGCGAGTTGCAATTTGGCAGCGCGAATCAGCCCCATCGGCAGATTGCTTAGAGCCCCCTGATTTTTGCTAAACGTGCATCGGCACATGTTCCCTGATTCCTAGGCTCCGTGAATTGAAACCGATTTGATTAGAATTTCTTTTGGTCAGGCTTTCACGCCTTCCAGGCTAAGGTTGAAAGCGTTGTCGTCCGTGCGTCCGTCACGGGGAGGGGGGGAAGGAGGGATCAGTGGGAAGGGTGGCAGGGGGTCACGGTAACTCGTGCCACGGCGTGCGTGCTCACGGCGGCACACAGCCACTTCTGCCGTCACAGGAGGGCAGCCCGTCCTACAGACGGGGTGACGTGACTGCCTCGCATCGCGGGACAAACTCACCCTGATCCTCACCAGATGCTCACCCTCCACCCCTCACGACACCGCTGACCAGTTACCAACTTGCTGATAGAACCGCTGCACCGGTCGCACCACTCACGTGACCGTTCGCCAGTTGACATCGCAGCAAACTCTCCTGACCCTCGCTGCCTTCTCGTCGTCCACCTCGCCTGCTATTCGCCCCCCTCGGCGGTCAGCTACCTCACCCACGCCGGTCCCCAGACGTCACCGCCTCCCCGCGTCGCCCGCTCGGGGGGGCGAGGCCGAGTAGCCGAGCTACGGGTGACGGACGGTCGGCCGAGTGGCGGGTGCACGAGCGCTGAACTTTCTTCGCACCGTACGTGGCCCGCCGTGCTGAATCGGAGGTGCGGTCGGTGGATGGCGCGGGGGGGGGGGGGTGGACAACGTATAGATGAATCTTGATTATTTCTAGTACATTTTTATTCCCCCCCCCCCCCCCGTGTCCCACACTCAGCTTCCCACTTCCAGCGCCGCCCACTTCCCCCCCCCCCCCCCCAACCTCAAGTCCTCTTCCCCTAGCGCTCACGCAGCCTCCCCCCCCCATTCCTCTACCCCACCCCCCCCCTCAATTTTTTTTACGATCAGAGGAAGCAAGAAGATGCTCCGTGTAGTCGGCACTTTGCTTCGTTCATCATTTCGCTTCATGTAACCCCCCCCCCCCTTTTTAAATGAAATATTTCACAAAAGATGTCACGCTCTGCTCTCCTTACCCCTTCCCTCTCTCGCTACCCCCTCTCTCTACCCCCCTCTCTCTCTACCCCCTCTTTCTACCCCCCTCTCTCCGTACCCCCTCTCTCCCTACCCCCTCTCTCTACCCCCTCTCTCTCTACCCCCTCTCTCCCTACTCTCTTCCCCCTTGCCTCCCCCTTTCTTACCGATATAACCTCTTGCCACGGCAGCTCTCTCGCCTACTTCAGCATTTTCTAGCCGTGGTTGCTCCACCTGATGAAGATCGCTCGTGTTGCGGCCGAAACGTCGTGATTTGTTTTATTTTATTTCTACCTACGTGACTTTACCGAAAGAGCCAAAGAGTAGAGAACGGAGAGATGACCCGGGCAATCGGAGAGAGCCCAGCCTCCGATCGCTCGTCACCGTCGTTCGCGAGGAGCGGGGGGGGGGGGGGGGGGTTGCGAGCGTTGTTTCTCCGTTGCCTCAAGCGTGACTCGTTTTCTCTCCCCGCGACTTTTCAATGTCCGGCCGAATGGAAAGAGGAAAACCCGCCGGCTACCTTTGCAAGGCGGCGCGCATCTCGCATGTGTCGCCAATTTCCTCCTCAATGCGCAACCGCTGTGTGTGCCGCGCTCGTCACGAATTGGCCACGGACTTTTTACGTGGCGCGAACCTTTATTATTGGCCGCGTCGATTGGTGGCGGCGGGTTTAACGACGCGGCATTTGATATTTTTAGGGGATCCGACACGAAAATAAGCCTGTGTTGCGGGCGCCTGTTTGCGGTGAATAATTGACGTCGCAAGGCCATGGAGGTCAAACGCGAATGCCTCCCGCTGACATATTTACGAACGAAAAAAAAGTTACGACCTAAAAAATAATGACAACTTAAGTAGAAAAAAACTGACGACGTTAATTTAAAAAAGTTACAACAACGTAAATTAAAAAGTAGCAACAACATAAATTAACAAGTACCAAACTACGTAAATTATAAAGTAGCAACAAGGTGAATTAAAAAAGTAACAACATTGTTCATTGAAAAGTAATAACGACGTTAATTAAAAGAAAGTCACAACGTAATTTTAAAAATTTAAAACAACGTAAATAAAAAATAAATCCCTTTCTCTGCTCCTTTTAACTCCCCGCTCCCCCATGTTGAGTCGCATCGAGCGCGGGAGCACCCCCCTGAGTGTCTCCCTGTACCACGGCCCCTGAATTTCCGTGTCTCCGTCTTGACCCCCTGAGTGTCCCCTGCACCACGGCCCCTGAATTCCCGTGTCTCCGTCTTGACCCCATGAGTGTCCCCTGCACCACGGCCCCTGAATTCCCGTGTCTCCGTCTTGACCCCCCTGAGTGTCCCCCTGTACCACGGCCCCTGAATTCCCATGTCTCCGTCTTGACCCCCTGAGTGTCCCCCTGCACCACGACCCCTGAATTCCCGTGTCTCCATCTTGACCCCCTGAGTGACCCCCTGCACCACGACCCCTGAATTCCCGTGTCTCCATCTTGTCCCCCTGAGTGACCCCCTGCTCCACGACCCCTGAATTCCCGTGTCTCCGTCTTGACCCCTTGAGTGACCCCCTGCACCACGGCCCCTGAATTCCCATGTCTCCGCCTTGACCCCCTGAGTGTCCCCCTCACCACGACCCCTGAATTCCCGTGTCTCCATCTTAACCCCCTGAGTGACCCCCTGCACCACGACCCCTGAATTCCCGTGTCTCCGTCTTGACCCCCTGAGTGACCCCCTGCACCACGGCCCCTGAATTCCCGTGTCTCCGTCTTGACCCCCCTGAGTGTCCCCTGCACCACGACCGCTGAATTCCCGTGTCTCCATCTTTACCCCCTGAGTGACCCCTGCACCACGGCCCCTGAATTCCCGTGTCTCCGTCTTGACCCCCCTGAGTGTCCCCTGCACCACGACCGCTGAATTCCCGTGTCTCCATCTTGACCCCCTGAGTGGCCCCTGCACCACGGCCCCTGAATTCCCGTGTCTCCGCCTTGACCTCCTGAGTGTCCCCTGCACCACGGCCCCTGAATTCCCGTGTCTCCGTCTTGACCCCCTGAGTGACCCCTGCACCACGGCCCCTGAATTCCCGTGTCTCCGTCTTGACCCCCCTGAGTGTCCCCTGCACCACGACCGCTGAATTCCCGTGTCTCCACCTTGACCCCCCTGAGTGGCCCCCTGCACCACGACCCCTGAATTCCCGTGTCTCCGTCTTGACCCCCCTGAGTGTCCCCTGCACCACGGCCCCTGAATTCCCGTGTCTCCGTCTTGACCCCCTGAGTGGCCCCTGCACCACGGCCCCTGAATTCCGTGTCTCCATCTTGACCCCCTGAGTGACCCCTGCACCACGGCCCCTGAATTCCCGTGTCTCCGTCTTGACCCCCCTGAGTGTCCCCTGCACCACGACCGCTGAATTCCCGTGTCTCCACCTTGACCCCCCTGAGTGGCCCCCTGCACCACGACCCCTGAATTCCCGTGTCTCCGTCTTGACCCCCTGAGTGTCCCCTGCACCACGGCCCCTGAATTCCCGTGTCTCCGTCTTGACCCCCTGAGTGGCCCCTGCACCACGGCCCCTGAATTCCCGTGTCTCCGTCTTGACCCCCTGAGTGTCCCCCTGCACCACGACCCCTGAATTCCCGTGTCTCCATCTTAACCCCCTGAGTGACCCCCTGCACCACGGCCCCTGAATTCCCGTGTCTCCGTCTTGAACCCCTGAGTGACCCCCTGCACCATGGCCCCTGAATTCCCGTGTCTCCGCCTTGACCCCCTAAGTGTCCCCCTGTGTGTCTCCCTGTGAGCGGTCGACCCCCCCCCCCCCCCCCGGCTGGTGCGGTGGTAGTGTGGGTAAACCCACCCACGCCCACTCGCACTTCTTCTCTCGCACGATTGGGTCAATGTGGACGAGTGGGCCAATCACCCTCCAGGCTCTACCTCCAGCGGTGGTGCGAGCCAGCGTTGGCAGGGCTGCGCCTTTGCCTCGCCCTCCGCAAGATATAAAAAGTACCGGCTCACTTGGAAAGCTTCACACAGCAGAACTCACGATCTGCGCATCGCAGGGACGTGAATTATACATTCACCTGCCCCGCTACACTGAATATTCATTTTACCCTCCACCCCCCCCCCATGTCACCCCCTCCCCCCCCACTCCTGTGTTCAGACGGATCTTGCGGGGAGTTTAATTGGATGCGCCCCCACCCTGCATCCCTCCCTCTCTCCCCCCCACCCCCGTCTCATTCATTTTTCATGGCCACAACGTTTTCCCTGCACGGTGGAGTCATCTCTTGTCACGTCTCTCCCCCCACTCTACCCCCCTCTCTCTCCCCCCTCTCCCACTCTCTCCCCCTCTCTCCCACTCCCTCCCCCCTCTCTCCCACTCCTCCCCCCCTCTCTCCCACTCTCCCCCTCTCTCCCACTCCCCCCCTCCCCTCTCTCCCACTCTCCCCCCCTCTCTCCCACTCTCCCCCCCCCTCTCCCCCCACTCTACCCCCCTCTCTCTCCCCCCCTCTCTCCCACTCTCTTCCACTCCTCCCCCCCCTCTCTCCCACTCTCTCCCCCTCTCTCCCCCCCCTCCCCTCTCTCCCACCCCCCCTCTCTCCCACTCTCTCCCACCCCCCGCCCTCTCTCCCACTCTCTCCCACTCTCCCCCCACTCTCTCCCCCACTCTCTCTCACTCTCTCCCACTCTTTCCCCCCTCCCTCTCACTCTCCCCCCCCCACTCTTTTCTACTCTCCCCCCACTCCCCCCCCCCCTCTCTCCCCCTCTCTCCCCCCTCTCTCCCCCCCCCCCTCTCTCCGCATCTCCCCCAAGGCCAGAGCTGAGCCCCGCGTCCGGCCTTGTGGGGGTGAGGGGGGGGGATTCGTCCCCCCCTCCCCGTCGTTGTCGCCTGCGACGCACACACGTGGCTCATCGTAAGGATGAATTGATAATTCACGATGAAACACGATCTTTGCCCCTGGGTAGAAAGTGTTAATTTCTAATTGCTTACGCCTCAAAAGTACAGAAAATGGCGATTATTCCCCACAAACTTTGCTTTTGTGACCAGGACTTTACGCGAAGAAATAACACATTCACACCACGTTTTCTCATTGAAAATAGGTAAATATCACTGCCATTTTCTGTACTATTGAGGCATAAGTAATTACAAAATAACACTTCCTACCCAGGGGCAAAAAAATAAAACATTTGTTTTGTTACACAGTGTAATAATATATTTGTATTCCCACGATGGGCAATGACGGCACGCTGCCACGCTGGACGCTGCCTCGATTGCTTACGGAGAGAGAGCGAGAAGGGGGGGGGGGGCGACTCGGAGGCTTGGGAAGGCAGCAGCAGCAGGAGAGCCACGTCAATTGCCCCCCAAGCTTTGTGGTCCTCTGTGTATATTGAAAGGTGTGGTGGGCCCAAATCGGCAGAGTGGTTATCCACGTGTGTGTCTGCGCGTGTGTCTGGGGGGGGGGGAGTAGAAGCCACGCGCACAAACACAAAAAAACACGTGCGGCCTACTTGCTCCACTGCCTGCTCCTCGCGAGCGCGGGGGGTGTAGCGGGCCCCTCCTTGACACCCGCAGGAAGTTAAAGCCTTTGCGGCACCTGTGCCGGTGATCCGTGGTTTACCATTCCGCCCGGCACCGCGCGTGCGAGGTCGTCGCATCGCTCCATCTCCACGTCGGTGGTCGCCCTCCCGGATGAGTTTCCGATCCTTGGCTGCCGTTTCCGCACATCGACCATTGCCGCTCCTAGAACGAGCGACGTGGTCTTTCCCAAGCCCCCCCCCCCCCCCCAACTGACTCTGAGTCTTTCCCAAGCCCCCCACTGACCCACCCCCACCCCCAAGTCCTTGCCAAGCCCCCCACTGACCCACCCCCCCCCCAAATCCTTCCCAAGCCCCATCTTACTTTTTTCCTGTGTGAACCTCGTTACCAAACCCCCCTCTAATCCACGTGTTCCCCTCTTTCTCTCTCTCCCTCTCTCGCCCTCTCCAGCCTCTCATTGCGATTCCGAGCGTGTGTCCCTTAGCACTCCTCCGCGCTCCTCGCCGTGCGTGTCGTTCAGGTCGCCGTTTTTTTTGTATTTCTCCTCCGCAAATCGTGACCGTGTGCGCTGTCCCAGGAGCGCCGCCACAGACGAAAAGGGGCTGCAGATGTCCACGTAATAATAATAATGATGATTTAGAATAATAATTTAAAAGAACCGGCGGCAGCGGAAACGACATCGCCGGAGAGGCAAAATCTTTGGACACCCGCGTTGAGTCGGCGTGTGACGGCATTAAGATACGATGCGTGTATTTTTATTTTTTGGTCTCTCCCCATAAAAATCGTGACAGCGGCCGGCGTTCCTGGAGTGTGAGCACGCCACCGCAGACGATGGGACGGGGCTTGCAGGCGTTTACGTCAAAACAAAAGCGAGAAAACGCGTGGCGGCAGCGGCAGCCCCGCCGATTTCACGCGGAGCCAAAATCTTCCCGGCACCTGCTCGAGTTGGCGTGTGACACAGACGAATATGTAATTTTTGTTCAACAAAAATTTTACCACGGCAAAAAAAGTTAATCCGTCAAAGCGCGGGCTCTACGCTCACCTCCCGACGACCCCGCGGGAAACCATCGCCAGCCAAATTCGCCAATCAAATTGGCGAGCGTTGACGCCGCGAGTTGTCCGCTCGCGGTCTTCGCTTGATTTTTTATCGCTTTCCCCCACGCCGCGCGCTCACTCGCTCCGTCGCCATCTCCCCCCCCCCACCGCCGCCGCCGCCGCCACCGTCTCCACCATTCCGGCCGTCTGCGTGCGCGTAAATGTTTAATAGAGCTGCTTTATTGATGGCGGTGTTTGCCGCTCGCTTGCCCGCGTGGGCTCGCGCTGGAAAGCGCGTCCATCATCTTCGCGGGGCGGGGGGGGGGGGCAGGGGGGAGCGGTTGGCCGCAGCGATTCGCGTCCGACGCTGCCGCTCGTCTGCACCGGTCGGCCCCCTAGGTTGACTCGGCCTCAAACGCGCAACCCCCATTGGGAGGCAAAGGCTGGCCGAGGTCGCGGTGCACCGTCACGGGCCGCTCGCTTGACAGCGCTTGCCCGAGGACGGTCTGTTGTCGAGGCTACACGGTGGGGCAACGTGCGTGTCTTCACCTTTGTGTTTGTGTGCGCGTGTGCGTGTGTTTGCAGGGCCCGCCAGGACCAAAGGGTGCCAAGGGTTCAACGGTACGAGCTCGCTAATGACGATCGTGGCGACGACCCCACAAAAGGGCCCCCCCCCCCCCTCGTGACCCCCTCCCTCTCTCCTCCTGACACCCCCCCCCCTCTACCCGACTGACCCCCCCCCCCCCCTCCTCCCCTCCAGTTCCGTTGCCCAACCGGCATTGCCGAGATTGGTCGGGATTCTCTGAAGCAGCGAGTTGATGTTTTCAACGCGGTCACCATAGACTCACAACAGAGACCCATAGACTCACATGGAGACCCATAGACTCACACAGAGACCCATAGACTCGCAACAGAGACCCATAGACTCACATAGAGACCCATAGACTCACAACAGAGACCCATAGACTCACAATAGAGACCCATAGACTCACACAGAGACACATAGACTCACAATAGAGACCCATAGACTCACATAGAGACCCATAGACTCGCAACAGAGACCCATAGACTGACATAGAGACCCATAGACTCACATAGAGACCCCATAGACTCACAACAGAGACCCATATACTCACAACAGAGACCCCATAGACTCACATAGAGACCCATAGACTCATAATAGAGACCCATAGACTCACATGGAGACTCATATACTCACAATAGAGACCCATAGACTCACACAGAGACCCATACACTCACATATAGACCCATAGACTCACATAGAGACCCATAGACTCACAACAGAGACCCATAGACTCACATAGAGACCCATAGACTCACAACAGAGACCCATAGACTCACAACAGAGACCCATAGACTCACAACAGAGACCCATAGACTCACATAGAGACCCATAGACTCACAACAGAGACCCATAGACTCACATAGAGACCCATAGACTCACAACAGAGACCCATAGACTCACATAGAGACCCCCATAGACTCACAACAGAGACCCATAGACTCACATAGAGACCCATAGACTCACAACAGAGACCCATAGACTCACGTAGAGACTTCATAGACTCACATAGAGACCCATAGACTCACATAGAGACCCATTGGCTCACAACAGAGACCCATAGACTCACATAGAGACCCATAGACTCACAACAGAGACCCATAGACTCGCGTAGAGACCCATAGACTGACATAGAAACCCCATTGGCTCACAACAGAGACCCATAGACTCACATAGAGACCCATAGACTCACATAGACCCCATAGACTTACAACAGAGACCCATAGACTCACAACAGAGACCCATAGACTCACATAGAGACCCATAGACTCACATAGAGACCCATAGACTCACATAGAGACCCATAGACTCACATAGAGACCCATTGACTCGCGTAGAGACTTCATAGACTCACATAGAGACCCATAGACTCACATAGAGACCCATAGACTCACATAGAGACCCATAGATTCACATGGAGACCCATAGACTCACATGGAGACCCATAGACTCACATGGAGACCCATAGACTCACATGGAGACCCATTGACTCGCGTAGAGACTTCATAGACTCACATAGAGACCCATAGACTCACATAGAGACCCATTGACTCGCGTAGAGACTTCATAGACTCACATAGAGACCCATAGACTCACATAGAGACCCATAGACTCACATGGAGACCCATAGACTCACATAGAGACCCATAGACTCACATAGAGACCCATAAACTCACATAGAGACCCATAGACTCACATAGAGACCCATAGACTCACATGGAGACCCATAGACTCACATGGAGACCCATAGACTCACATAGAGACCCATAGACTCACATGGAGACCCATAGACTCACATAGAGACCCATAGACTCACATAGAGACCCATAGACTCACATAGAGACCCATAGACTCACATTGAGACCCATAGACTCACATGGAGACCCATAGACTCATATAGAGACCCATAGACTCACATGGAGACCCATAGACTCACAACAGAGACCCATAGACTCACATAGAGATCCATAGACTCACATAGAGACCCATAGACTCACATAGAGATCCATAGACTCACATAGAGACCCAAAGACTCACATGGAGACCCATAGACTCACATAGAGACCCATAGACTCATATAGAGACCCATAGACTCACATAGAGATCCATAGACTCACATAGAGACCCATAGACTCACATAGAGACCCATAGACTCATATAGAGACCCATAGACTCACATGGAGACCCATAGACTCACATGGAGACCCATAGACTCACATAGAGATCTATAGACTCACATAGAGACCCATAGACTCACATAGAGATCCATAGACTCATATAGAGACCCATAGACTCACATAGAGACCCATAGACTCACATAGAGACCCATAGACTCACATAGAGACCCATAGACTCACATAGAGATCCATAGACTCACATAGAGACCCATAGACTCACATAGAGACCCATAGACTCATATAGAGACCCATAGACTCACATGGAGACCCATAGACTCACATGGAGACCCATAGACTCACAACAGAGACCCATAGACTCACATAGAGACCCATAGATTCATAACAGAGACCCATAGACTCACATGGAGACTCATATACTCACAATAGAGACCCATAGACTCACATAGAGACCCCGTGGACTCGCAACAGAGACCCATAGACTCACATAGAGACCCCATTGGCTCACAACAGAGACCCCATACACTCACATAGAGATCCATAGACTCACATAGAGACCCATAGACTCACAACGGAGACCCCATAGACTCACATAGAGACCCATAGACTCACATAGAGACCCATAGACTCACATAGAGACCCATAGACTCACATAGAGACCCCATAGACTCACATAGAGACCCCATAGACTCACATAGAGACCCATAGACTCACAACAGAGACCCATATACTCACATAGAGACCCATAGACTCACATAGAGACCCATAGACTCACATAGAGATCCATAGACTCACATAGAGACCCCATAGACTCACATAGAGATCCATAGACTCACATAGAGACCCATGGGCTCACAACAGAGACCCATAGACTCGCATAGAGACCCATAGACTCACATAGAGACCCCATAGACTCACATAGAGACCCATAGACTCACAACAGAGACCCATAGACTCACAACAGAGACCCATAGACTCACAACAGAGACCCATAGACTCACACAGAGACCCATAGACTCACATAGAGACCCATAGACTCACATAGAGACCCATAGACTCGCGTAGAGACCCATAGACTCACATAGAGACCCACAGACTCACACAGAGACCCATAGACTCACATAGAGACCCATAGACTCACACATAGACCCATAGACTCACAACAGAGACCCATAGACTCACAACAGAGACCCATAGACTCACACAGAGACCCATAGACTCACATAGAGACCCATAGACTCACATAGAGACCCATAGACTCGCGTAGAGACCCATAGACTCACATAGAGACCCACAGACTCACACAGAGACCCATAGACTCACATAGAGACCCATAGACTCACACATAGACCCATAGACTCACAACAGAGACCCATAGACTGACATAGAGACCCCCATAGACTCACATAGAGACCCATGGGCTCTGGGTAAGGCCCATTGAGCTAAGTAGCTCTTTCTCAGCGGTGACCCGGCCATAACTCGCTGACCCCGTGCCCCTACTGTGAAATGAGCTTCAGAGCTCATCGGATTCCTCCCGCAGTCTAAATAAAGATTACGATTCTGTAGCAGGCAAGTCACACGGGAGGGCTGGATTCCGACGGGAGGGTTTCATATAAAAAGCAGAGACATTATATGTACATGGCCGATAAACAATTTGAATTGCGTGCAATCGAAATCTGGTGACCAATCCATTGAACGAACAGTCTTCTCCGGAAATCTGCGTTCTCACGTGGGGCTTTTACTGACGACATGAACAGGCTTGTGATGGCTGCAGCAGCAGCAGATAGAGAGGGGGTGGGGGTGTCAGAATAATCGAGGTCAGCCACTTTAACCCATCCAAAATTACTCTTTGGTTCTTTCGGTAAAGTCACGTATAAAGAGAAAATAATAAATTAAATACTAGCATACGACGTTTCGATTGCAACACGAGCAATTATCATCAGGTATAAATGAAATAGAAACACAAACAGTCAACACCCTACCTGGTTGATTATGTTCTTCGTGAGAATGCTAAATTTGAGAGAGAGATAAAACACAGAACCAGAGACATATAGACAGACATATAAGCAGACAGATATCACAGAGATACATAGAGAGAGAGAGAGACGTGCATAGTCACACAGAGAAACCACGACTTTACCGAAAGAGCCAAAGAGTAATTCCTGCAGTCACGAAAGCTCCAAATTAAGTATGAACCCCATCCACAATGTCGACGCCACAGTTGAGGCTTGGCTTGAATCTAGTTCCGCGAGCTCCAGTTTTAAGGTGGTTGCTGCCACCTTCCGCGCTCTCTCTCCCTCCTCTCCCTCCTCTCCCCCATCTGCTCTCTCTCCTCTCTCTCATCTCTCTCCCCCCACCCAGTGCCGGATGAAGTTAGTGCGGGGGCCTGTAGAATGATGTTATAAAGGGGCCCTAAATATAAAAAACACATAAATATTAAAACACACATTTTTTATTTGCACGGTAAAGTAATTGTATCGTTTTCATTTGCTATGCAGCCAGATAATACGACAAATCGCTAAACTTAATCACCCAGTCGTTCATAAAAGTCGAAGGCGGTATAGTACTATAGTAATAGAGCAAATGCAGAATCACTGAACCGGACTTGATGATAGCTTGAAAGTGTTAAGCGCGGGGCCCTTTAAAGTGCGGGGCCCGTAGCTACATAGCTAGTTACTTTTGCTACTACGATAATCCGGCACTGCCCCCCCCCCCCACCACGCTCTCTCGTTGAGTCCTACGGCGCTAGGGGACACGCAAAGCGGTCGCCTGCGCGGACAACGCCGATTAATAAAAAAAATTGTATTTTGTACGTTCGCAAGCGCGTGCACGGGGTCCCGTGTCGTTGATCGAGACGTCAGCGACGACGTTCCTGACGCGTTCTATCGCGGGATTTTTTTTTTCCGGGCAGTGGTGGTGGGAGGGGTAGTGTAGGGGTGTGCGTGATGGCTTCAGTTAAGTGGCGCCTGCTTGTCGTTTTAATGGGCTTTAATGTTTAGTTCTTTTTTTCCGGACGGAGGAAGCAGGTGGGCTCTTTCCGCCGAGACCGGCTTACGGCTGACGTCGGCTCCTGCCGCAGGCCGGAGTCTTGACAGGAGTACTCGTTAGGGGGGAACAGACACGATGTGACCGCGATGCCCGCCGTTGGCTAATGGAGCTTTTAGCATTTCATCGTGGTGGAGCCCAGGAATATCAATATTCACGTCAACAAGTTGGCTGCCACGGTTTTAGCTTTTTTTAACGCTTCGGCAGGCAACTTCGGTTGGGGAAAAAAAGCTGGAATTTTACGGCATTGGCTTCGTCGGTCTCTCTGTCTATCCATGGATGCCATCTGCCCATGTCTGTCCGCTTTTCCCCATCTGGCCGGGTGTGTCCGTACGTTCGTCCGTCTGCCCGTGCGTCCTCCCAGTGGGGCGGAGTGGGGCGGAGTGGGGCGGAGCGATTACGGTAACTCGTGGTGCCGCGGTCGGAGACGCTCGCGATTGCATGTGACTCTCGTGCAAAGTCGCGTTGCCGCTGGCGGAATTCGAGTCTCCCGAAAAATCTCGGGAGACTCGAATCAAAAGAGGAAGAAATTTAAAATAATTTGCGAACATGCAAATTCGTTCCATTTGCCCTGACAGCTTCCTGTTGGGCTCACGTTCCACTAATTAATTACTTCCAGGGACTGACGCGTTGCAGAAGCCACGCGTTGATGCTTTTTTTTCTCTTTTGCCTCCACGTTTTATCTACCGAGCGTGGCGCATCGCCTCTCCGCGGTCGGGAGGTCTGGCGTTCGGCTCGGTTTCTTTTTTGCCGGCGCCAGGTCGGCTGCTCTCAGGAGGTGCCCAGGATAAGAGCGTAATTGACGACAGCGAGCTGGGGCCATTGGAAGAATAGGTTTTACCCTGTCTGGCAATTCAACAGGCGGTGTTAAGATGTTATGACACCGAACAGAAACCTTTCGCAATCACGTACTGCATTAACCACACACGGTACTTATAGTGAACATGAAAAAAAACGCTCTGGTAGTGTATGATGATGCATTGTCTTTGAATCTGATTGGTCCACACCAGAGACAGCTTTCTTTAGAGCCCAGTCTCAAACAGTGTCAGACCAGAGGACGCCAAAAGGTGAACAGCACAAAGACAATGCCACTGTCAGGGCATTGAGAGCTCGGGGTGAGCAGCCCTCCTTTGCCAGCATCAAAATATAAGAAGCGGTTTCACCCTTTCTGGCAATACAAGATGTTAGAACACCAAACAGAAGCCTCTTGCAAGGTATCATGTCTGCATTAACCACACATTCTGTGGTTAACATGCAAACAAAGATCATTCACTGGTAGTATATTCATTGTCTTTGAAATGCATGCTCGGAGCATTTTTGTTTGCATGCAAACATGGCAAACAAGCTCAGGGCATGTTTTGCAAAGAAAAAAATGTCCCACAGATACCAACTCTTTATTTTATGACGGGGTGGGTACACTTAACCGACCTACTCGCACATCTGCCCGTAACCCCCATCGTCCACCCAGCAAGTCGGACGCCCCGACCTTTTATACGGTTTGCCGGTGTTCTAATCTTCTAGCTTGTGTGGCGTGTAATATTCATTGTGCGTGTGTGCGTGTGTTCATTCTAGGGGGCATCCGGTCCCAAAGGTGAACTGGGCCCCCCAGGAGCTCCCGGCCCTCCCGTGAGTTGCGCCAATTCCGTGCCGACACATTGTGACCGTGCGAGCTTTTTAGAGAGCGTCAGATTTTCGGGGCCTTAGGGCGAGCGGCTTCTGTGTTGGGCCTTGGAGCCTGTCGGCCCATGTGAGCCCGTTTCTAAGCATCCGTAATAATAAAAAAGTATATAATGAGATTAAATATACCGGGTGTTTGAAAATGCTGGACCCGATTTGAAATCGCTAAATCTCTGCAACCACGAACCGCCCATGAATGAAACTCTTTTCACTGAAAGGGTGGGGCATAGCGTTTAAAATGATTACCGCTAGATGCCTCTTCCAGCGCACAAACAGCCCCTAACCTTAGTCATTCACAAGGCGGTTTGCGTTCTGCAGTTCTGCAAGACTGAATCCGTAATTACGGTGCAGCATGCATTTCAACGGCGTTTCGGCATTGATCCGCCAATGTCAAAGAGCATTCGTCGTTGGTAGCAACAATTTGAGGAAGCAGGCTGTTGATGTAAGGGGAAGAGCACAGGGTGACCACGCACCTCAGAGTTAAACGTTAGAAGAGAGGCGTTTTGGACGAATTCAACTATCGTCTCGATGTTGTCCGTACAGCAGGTGGAGGGCACATAGAGCATTTATAAAATGGATAGTAAAACTTAATAACTCATTAAACCGTTTGTAACTTTTCGTGTAATTGTAACATGTTGCCATCGTGAAATTTACTGCTTTGAAATTGGGTCCATCTGTTTGAAGCACTCTGTCATAAAAAACAAATGTAAAATACACTCCACCACCACCACCCCCGGCAATCCTTCCCCCAGGGACCTCCCGGCGACGTCATCAACCCGTTCCCGCTCATGGGCGAGCTCCGGTCGCGCCGATCGGTGGACGCCAGCCTGCCCATGGACGGGGAGCGGCTTCCCTTCTCCGATTACGGCGAGGCGCCGGCCGGCCGGGGTCGCGACGCCGCCGCCGGCGCCGGCGGCACCGGCGCCAACCGGGTGGCCGATCCGGATCCGGACGCCTACCTGGACTACGAGGACGGCATGGAGGAGATCTTCGCGTCGCTCAACTCGCTCAAGATCGAGATCGAGCAGATCAAGCACCCGCTGGGCACGCAGAGCAACCCGGCGCGCACCTGCAAGGACCTGCAGCTCTGCCACCCGGACTTCCCCAACGGTGCGTTCGCCGGATTTGGCAAGGGAATTGAGCAACGCACAGCCGACGTCGATGTCGCCGTCGGTAGGATGAAATGAAAATAAAAAATGCTATTGCCGGCGGTTGCGGCGCCGACACCATCAGAGGGATGCGGGATTTTTTTTATTTAACACGTAGGCTTTCACGACCAATATCATCCATAATGCGGGTGGTTTTGCGTTAGATCGCGTAAATATAAATGTGTCGTTAAATCCGCCACCGCCCGACACAGCCAATCAGTAAAGGGTTTGTCACGTAAACGGAACGTGGCCAATCCGTTACTAGTACAGCACCCACCGGTTGTGTGTTGGAGAGCAAAGCCACAACATTTACAATCTGAATACAGATTCGAATCGGTACGTTCTGTTTACGTGACAAACCTTACTAATTGGCTGTGTTGGGCGGGGTGGCGGGTTTAACTACACATTTCTATTGACGCGATCTAACCCAAAAAAACCCTCATTTTGACATTCATAATGTAATAACGTTTCAATGTTTATACGGTGGTGTCACCCGCGACAGCTTGATCCTTGACCTCGCAACACCGCTCAGTCCATAACACACGGGGGTGACACGCACGGATCCAGTTTGTTCAAAGCTGGGGGGAGTAAACCGGCATGCGCTCGGTAGAAGCCCCCCCCCCCCTCCCGCGCGTGTGAGGTCAAGGGGAGGCAACGCTCGATCCCCCCCGTACCAAAGGCAAAAGCTCCACGCACACTCCCCCCCCTTGTCCCCCCCCTCCACGCGCAGGAGACTACTACATCGACCCGAACCAGGGCTGCTCCGGAGACTCCTTCAAGGTTTTCTGCAACTTCACCAGCGGCGGAGAGACCTGCGTCGTGCCGGATGAGCGCACGGCCTCGGTGAGGAGTCGCCCCCCCCCCCCTCGCCACCCTCCCCCCCTCTCACCGTCTCACCCCCAAACCCCTGCCAATGGATCGAGACGTCGCGACGGTTCTGTTTACGTGCTGCCGCTGTCATTGTTACGACGATGGCGGTGACGGTGACGATGGCGGTGATGATGGCGGTGACGACGATGGTGACGACGATGGTGACGATGTTGGTGACGACAATGGTGACGATGATGGTGACAATGATGGTGACGACGCTGGTGATGACAATGGTGACGATGATGGTGACGATGATGGTGATGATGGCGGTGATGATGGCGGTGATGACAATGGTGACGATGATGATGCTTTGGACACCAAGGGCTCGAACTGTTACAGCCTCACGTCACTATACACTACACTACTATACTGCTATACACTACACTATACACTACTATACACTACACTATTATACACTACACTACTATACACTACACTATACACTACACTATACACTACACTGCTATACACTAACATCTACTACACCATACACTACTATACACTACACTAAACACTACTACTCTACTATACACTACACTGCTATACACTACTCTACTATACACTACACTATACACTACACTATACACTACTCTACTATACACTACACTATACACTACACTACTATACACTACACTACTATACACTACTATACACTACACTATACACTACACTACTATACACTACACTATGCATTACTATACACTACACTATACACTACACTACTATACACTACACTATACACTACTATACACTACACTACTATACACTAAACTATACACTACACTACTATACACTGTTACACCCTCGGTGTGAAACCCTTTGCACGTCCGCAACATCAAATGCAGTCCGACTTTCAAGCAACATCTGAAGGCCTCTGTCTGGGTCAGGGCTTTCTAGCAGCCCTGAGAATTGACTTGTCTGCCAAACCTGTTAACCCCTTAGCAGTGCCCTACCTTATTACAGACCAATTCAGAACTTATTGGTCACCCCGTCCCATTATACATCTCAGCGTTCATCCTACAAAGTCCCATCACGAGGGAGAAACACAAACAAATAGACAACATTTATTTTTGCCCGTATTGAAATGGCTGTACGCCGTATGTTCCTGAAAACTCCATGTCCATGTACAAGAATACGGAGTAAACCGTGATGGGTTGACAGGGCATGTATAAACGTCATTATTATTAAATTATTATTGGTGACGATGCCGCGTGTTACCCCGGGAGGGCCTCGCGGAGTCTCATGACTTCCTTCAGGAGGGTCCCTGCCAAGGTTTTCGCTGACGACAGCGACAATCGGGGTTGTGATTACGATAACGATTCTCAAAGCACGCTGAGCTTCCCACACCGGCATATCGCCAGCTGTAACGACCGCGACGATCACGGCGCTTGATGACGATGGCGACGGTGGCGCCGCCGCCGCCGCCGGTGTTGATGGCAGCGGAGATGACAGCGACAGCGACAATAAAGGATGCCGATTGATGTGCTTCACAGGTGAAGATGTCGTCGTGGCCTGGGGAGACCCTGGGCACGTGGTTCAGCGAGTTCAGCGACGGTCACCCGGTAAGAGTCAACTCCCCCCCCCCCCGCGCGTCCACCCTCTCGACCCCTCGGCAGTGATGGCTGTGGCGGGGGGTGAAACACAACTATAATAAGATCCATGGCAATCTTGATTTGAAGCTTTCGTGACTGCAGGAATGCATACTCTTTGGTTCTTAAGGTAAAGTCAGCAGTTTCACTGCTGGATTATTTTTTTTCCCCTGAGGACGACCGCTTGTGTTGCGGTCGAAACGTCGTGAATTATTATTTTAATTTACTTTTATTTCTCTACCTACGTGACTTGTGGTGAATTGGCGCTCTGAGGAAGGCCCATTGCCCGAACCGTCGCCTGCTATATATTCGCTTTCATTTGAAGGCCACGCCGTGTAGTTATTGACGAACCTGTTGGGAGTTTTTGTTTTGTTGCGACAGCAGTGAAATGCAGTGCAGGGCAGGCTCACGCTTGCAGCTAAGATAACAGGGCATTAAATAATAATGATAATGATGCAATTTGAAACGCGCCCGATATTTCACAGATGTATGGACTTATTTTGCGCTGCACAAAGCTAATCGACGGCCCAGTGGGGGGGGGGGGGGGGGTCAACAAACTAAAAACAACAAAAGCAGCTCTGAAATATATGAATTGGTCAATCCATATGATTTAAAAGTGTGCGCAGTTTCATTGGGCTTACTCATATCGGAAGGTGAAGAGCGTTCCAGACGGCCGCAGGAGTGCACCTGCAAAGTGCCGCGCACTTTAAATTGACATCGTCGATGACGGCGACTCTGGGGTGGTGTCGCTGAGAGCCAGGAGAGAAAGAACGTCGTGGAGGGGAGTGGGGGTGTAGGGGGGGGAGGAGCGAACGCTGCTACTGCTGCCACCGCTAGGCTGTGCGATCACCAGGGTGCCAACACTTGCATGGGGAAATGGAGTGAGGGGGGGTGTGGATGGGGAGGGGCGCATCTTTGTAAATAAAATTAAAAACCCACCAGCCAAATTATTCTCAAAACTATGCAAATGCACAGACAAAACAAAGGCGCTACTGAATCACATTGCCATGGGATAGCCCGCCTACAGAACCCATGAACGTACACGGGTTGCTACTTTGAGATACAGAGACTCCTCGACTTACGAAAGAGTTAGGTTCAAGAGGTCCGTTCGTAAGTCGATTTGTTCGTTAAGTCCAAACTTTATTCCCGTCAATTCAGAACGTGTTGTATGTACACTAAACACGGGGGATGGCTTTAAAAGTTATAAAATCTCCTGTTGACGTAGATGCCACTGGTTCTTCACGTTCTGCAGATGTAGATGCCACTGGTTCTTCACGTTCTGTAGATGTAGATGCCACTGGTTCTTCACGTTCTGTAGATGTAGATGCCACTGGTTCTTCACGTTCTGCAGATGTAGATGCCACTGGTTCTCCACGTTCTGTAGACGTAGATGCCACTGGTTCTTCACGTTCTGCAGATGTAGATGCCACTGGCTCTTCACGTTCTGCAGATGCCACTGGTTCTTCATGTTCTGTAGACGTAGATGCCACTGGTTCTTCATGTTTTGTAGATGTAGATGCCACTGCTTCTTCACATTCTATAGATGTAGATGCCACTGATTCTTCACGTTCTGCAGATGTAGATGCCACTGGTTCTTCATGTTTTGTAGATGTAGATGCCACTGCTTCTTCACGTTCTATAGACGTAGATGCCACTGGTTCTTCACGTTCTGCAGATGTAGATGCCACTGGTTCTTCACGTTCTATAGACGTAGATGCCACTGGTTCTTCACGTTCTGCAGATGTAGATGCCACTGGCTCTTCACGTTCTGCAGATGTAGATGCCACTGGTTCTTCATGTTCTGTAGACGTAGATGCCACTGGTTCTTCATGTTCTGTAGATGTAGATGCCACTGCTTCTTCACATTATATAGATGTAGATGCCACTGATTCTTCACGTTCTGTAGATATAGATGCCACTGCTTCTTCACGTTCTGTAGATGTGGATGCCACTGGTTCTTCGCCTTCTATAGATGTAGATGCCACTGGTTCTTCACGTTCTATAGATGTAGATGCCACTGATTCTTCACGTTATGTAGATGTGGATGCCACTGGTTCTTCGCCTTCTATAGATGTAGATGCCACTGGTTTTTCACGTTCTATAGATGTAGATGCCACTGATTCTTCACGTTCTGTAGATGTAGATACCACTGGTTCTTCACGTTCTGTAGATGTAGATGCCACTGGTTCTTCACGTTTTGGAGATGTAGATGTCACTGGTTCTTCACGTTCTATAGATGGTGATGCCACTGATTCTTCACGTTCTATAGATGTAGATGCCACTGGTTCTTCACGTTCTGCAGATGTAGATGCCACTGGTTCTTCACGTTCTATAGATGTAGATACTACTGGTTATTCACATTCTGCAGATGTAGATGCCACTGATTCTCCACGTTCTGTAGATGTAGATGCCACTGGTTCTTCATGTTCTGCAGGTGTAGATGCCACTGGTTCTTCACGTTCTGTAGATGTAGATGCTACTGGTTCTTCACGTTCTGCAGATTTAGACACCACTGGTTCTTCACGTTCTGCAGATGTAGATGCCACTGGTTTTTCACGTTTTGGAGATGTAGATGTCACTGGTTCTTCACGTTCTATAGATGTAGATGCCACTGGTTTTTCACGTTTTGGAGATGTAGATGTCACTGGTTTTTCACGTTCTATAGATGTAGATGCCACTGGTTTTTCACGTTTTGGAGATGTAGATGTCACTGGTTCTTCACGTTCTATAGATGTAGATGCCACTGGTTTTTCACGTTTTGGAGATGTAGATGTCACTGGTTTTTCACGTTCTATAGATGTAGATGCCACTGGTTTTTCACGTTTTGGAGATGTAGATGTCACTGGTTTTTCACGTTCTGTAGATGTAGATACCACTGGTTCTTCACGTTCTGCAGATGTAGATGCCACTGGTTCTTCACGTTCTGTAGATGTAGATGCCACTGATTCTTCACGTTCTGTAGATGTAGATACCACTGTATCTTCACGTTCTGTAGATGTAGATGCCACTGGTTCTTCACGTTCTGCAGGTGTAGATGCCACTGGTTCTTCACGTTCTATAGATGTAGATGCCACTGGTTCTTCACGTTCTGCAGATGTAGATACCACTGGTTATTCACATTCTATAGATGTAGATACCACTGGTTATTCACATTCTATAGATGTAGAGATACCACTGGTTCTTCACGTTCTGTAGATATAGATGCCACTGGTTCTTCACGTTCTGTAGATGTAGATGCCACTGGTTCTTCACGTTCTGTAGATGTAGATGCCACTGGTTCTTCACGTTTTGTAGTTGTAGATGCCACTGGTTCTTCACGTTTTGCAGATGTAGATACCACTGGTTCTTCACGTTCTGCAGATGTGGAAGCCACTGGTTCTTCACGTTCTGTAGATGTAGATGCCACTGGTTCTTCAAATTCTGTAGATGTAGATGCCACTGGTTCTTCACGTTCTGCAGATGTAGATGCCACTGGTTCTTCACGTTCTGTAGATGTAGATGCCACTAGTTCTTCATGTTCTGCAGGTGTAGATGCCACTGGTTCTTCACGTTCTGTAGATGTAGATGCCACTAGTTCTTCACGTTCTGTAGATGTAGATGCCACTAGTTCTTCACGTTCTGTAGATGTAGATGCCACTGGTTCTTCACGTTCTGTAGATGTAGATGCCACTGGTTCTTCATGTTCTGTAGATGTAGATGCCACTGGTTTTTCACGTTCTGTCGATGTAGATGCCACTGGTTCTTCACGTTTTGGAGATGTAGATGTCACTGGTTCTTCACGTTCTATAGATGGTGATGCCACTGATTCTTCACGTTCTATAGATGTAGATGCCACTGGTTCTTCACGTTCTGCAGATGTAGATGCCACTGGTTCTTCACGTTCTATAGATGTAGATACTACTGGTTATTCACATTCTGCAGATGTAGATGCCACTGATTCTCCACGTTCTGTAGATGTAGATGCCACTGGTTCTTCATGTTCTGCAGGTGTAGATGCCACTGGTTCTTCACGTTCTGTAGATGTAGATGCTACTGGTTCTTCACGTTCTGCAGATTTAGACACCACTGGTTCTTCACGTTCTGCAGATGTAGATGCCACTGGTTTTTCACGTTTTGGAGATGTAGATGTCACTGGTTCTTCACGTTCTATAGATGTAGATGCCACTGGTTTTTCACGTTTTGGAGATGTAGATGTCACTGGTTTTTCACGTTCTATAGATGTAGATGCCACTGGTTTTTCACGTTTTGGAGATGTAGATGTCACTGGTTCTTCACGTTCTATAGATGTAGATGCCACTGGTTTTTCACGTTTTGGAGATGTAGATGTCACTGGTTTTTCACGTTCTATAGATGTAGATGCCACTGGTTTTTCACGTTTTGGAGATGTAGATGTCACTGGTTTTTCACGTTCTGTAGATGTAGATACCACTGGTTCTTCACGTTCTGCAGATGTAGATGCCACTGGTTCTTCACGTTCTGTAGATGTAGATGCCACTGATTCTTCACGTTCTGTAGATGTAGATACCACTGTATCTTCACGTTCTGTAGATGTAGATGCCACTGGTTCTTCACGTTCTGCAGGTGTAGATGCCACTGGTTCTTCACGTTCTATAGATGTAGATGCCACTGGTTCTTCACGTTCTGCAGATGTAGATACCACTGGTTATTCACATTCTATAGATGTAGATACCACTGGTTATTCACATTCTATAGATGTAGAGATACCACTGGTTCTTCACGTTCTGTAGATATAGATGCCACTGGTTCTTCACGTTCTGTAGATGTAGATGCCACTGGTTCTTCACGTTCTGTAGATGTAGATGCCACTGGTTCTTCACGTTTTGTAGTTGTAGATGCCACTGGTTCTTCACGTTTTGCAGATGTAGATACCACTGGTTCTTCACGTTCTGCAGATGTGGAAGCCACTGGTTCTTCACGTTCTGTAGATGTAGATGCCACTGGTTCTTCAAATT